ACAGGACCACCTAAGTGAGATGGTCGTTTTCAAACATGTTACTTTGTTTCAAAAGTAAGTTACTACTTCTTTTTGCGCTTAATACAAAGACTACTTTTTTGCTCACATTAGGAATCCTACTTCAAATGACTTCCAAATTAAGGGACTAAGAGCAAACCAAAATCTCGTTTGTTCCATTTTTCGTTTTCAATATCTCAGGCTAGAGAAGATCAATCAGGCTTAAATCACTTTAATGTAGATTACGAGGCTTGGGCTATCGAATATATAAATTCTTGTCCTTTCCTTGCGATTCACTTAGTAGCGCAGACTTAGCATGGCACCGTATCCCAATATTTTCGCAGTATTTTACCAGTATTTTACAGCATAGCTAAGGAAAAACTATTATATTTTGCTCTTGAAGAAACGTTTTCATATGAAATTTTTGCTATGTAAAGAAGAAGGTTGAGCAGTAACAATGATATAAAAAACGCAGATATTTGACCTGTTTGTAAGTTAATGGGGTGTGGCAGCACCCCATCAACTATATAAAAAACATTTTTAGCGAAAGTTATTTATATAAATCAACCAGACCAAAGTGCCGCTTCGCGGCACTTTGGTCTGGTCGTGTGTGAAGTTGGATGTGGTAGAAGTTTGGTACATTGCCATTGTTAGTTCAAAAGTCGGTGTCTACAGACATCTGCTATTAGCGAAAACGGAGAGTAAGTAAAATTTCTATAGGTTTTACATGTTGTTGTGGATGAAATATACAGTAGAGCTTTTTTAGCTCTTCAAATGTTTGGCATATGGAAGATTTACAACTGTTTGCATAACATTAGCTTGCTGGGTCTAAAATAGGCAAATCTGCTGAAATTGTGCAAGCTGGACTAACAGTATACCATCTAAGTCGTCTGGAAAACTTCTTGGAAGAAATTGAAAGCTATTCTGTCACATTGCGCTGCAACACCCCCCCCCCCCCGTCCTAAAGGCTTATCATCAAGAGCATATATTGCTTTCTTTCCAGAAAGTCTCCTTAAAAAAATGTTCAAATTTTCCTAGTTCCTTATTTCTTCAAAATTGTGCCAAACTAATCATATTCTTAAGTTTTAGATCAGATTTTCAAAAATTACACACCAAGCGAAAGTAATTTCAATTTTCCAACCCACGTTCCGCTTTTCTATTATTTATTTTCCGCCAAAACGTTTTTCGAAGTGCGGAAACGTCCCCGGCTCCTTTGAGATCAGGAGAAAAACTGACACTCATTCCCTTCACTAAAAATGTCTGAATGTCCCTTTATCAATATGCAAATTTAGCAATATCAAAGTGTTTGCTCCATATTTTTGCTATTTTTCGTCTACGACTACATACCAAAAACTACTCTTGGCCTTCCCATGTCAGAACCGCTCAAAGCTTTGATCTCTGACTTGCTTGGAAACATGCGTATATCTTTGCCTTTGCTGGAGTTAAAGTGCAAATCTCCCAAGTTTTCCCTCTTTCCCCTCTCGCCCTCTTCCCTCTTTCGTATCAACTTCCTCTACGCTACTTAACATCTCAATTTTGTGGCATTCAAACCATATTTTTCGTACTTCCATTGGAGACCTCCATCTTGTTTTCTTTTCAGCTCGCAATGGTTTTTGTGCTTCATCCATGGTTCTATATCTTGTCTGATGGTTTCGAAAGCTTCAAAGCCTTGCTAGCGGAAGCTATCCGGGCTCGCTTTGCTTCTCGCTGTTGCGATATAGTAATCTAATGCATAACGAAAACAGAACTAAGTGACCTTCCCCTTCTCAGCGTTTAGCTTATATAGCAAATACACGCTTCCTGATCAACATCATCTAAGACAGGCGCCACTACCATCATGAGCCACAGCTCGGTGCAGCTGCACCGGCACATAACGACAAAGTTGTTGACATCCGAATCGCGACCACGAAGGGGGGGGGGGGGGTATCTTACATACATGAGTCATCTCTAGCGCTTTATTATAGAGAGATAGCCTAGACCTCGTTGGTTTCATAGGAGTGATTTGAGCTTGATCCGTCTTCTTACTCCGATTAATGATTGGTGAAAGCACAGCCATTAAAAGCGAAGAATAGGAAAAACAAGATTTTGGTTGGCTTCTAATTCCAAAGTTAGGATCTTTTGAAGCGAGATTTCTGAAGTGGCCAAAGAAGGAGTAGTGCTTTGTCTTGAGTGCAAGAACAGCTAGCTCCTTCACCTTTGAAACAAGTTAATCATGCTGGAAAATGCCGACTTCACTTAGGCGACCTAATATCTTGAAACTTCAGAATTCGCTCAAACATTGTCTACAGGGGTTAATTGACATGCTAATTATGGATATGTTGCCCGTTATGTTTGACAGGGCCTTCAAGTAGTGCTATCTTAGGTATATAGTTCGGGGGGTCTTATTACAGCAATGAGAGAGGGGGGGGGGTCGTAACCAGTAAGATCGTGTGCCACACCTCTTGCTTGACTCTGATAGAGAATGATGCTGCTGAATACGATCTACTCCTGATCTATCATCGTATGCCTGTTGTTGGCATGACCAAGGAAGCCCTACCTATTTAATATTTGTAATCACCATGTAAAATAATAGTAATTTAGCAAGAAAATGAGGTTCTAAGATATCGGCCACTTAAAGGCACCGTCCACCCTAAGTTGAGGGTGTTGAGCTTTTGGCACCATATAATAGTAGGGCCCCCTATCAATCCAGTGCCGAAGTCGCGGCGCAAAATGCCGCTTCGGAAGCGAGAAAATCGCTTCGGAATAGCGAAGATGCACGAGGACCCCCATCCATGCCCGCCCTCCCCCATCCATGACCGCCCATTTGTGCGCGCCCATCCAATCACCGTTCCGGAAAGCACGCCTGTGGGTTCCCCGGAACGGGGATTTTCGGGGTTTCAAGCATTCTCAACTTCATATTCAGAATCAGGGACATGAGAAGGCCCTGAAACGACAAAAACATGGAAGTCGAAAATCTGGGTGGACGGTGCCTTTAAGCGATGCGTTTCCAAACGTGTTTGGCACGGGACATACCTCACGCGATCTCAGTTGCCACGCGATCTGGCAATTTGCCATATGTCTTCAAATTCAATACTGGAAGACCTCAAATGCACAGCATGTATAACTTCCGTAGGTTAATAAAATGCCCCCTCTTCCGTACAACCAGAAACCACGTAGGATGAGTTATGAACATTTGGAGTATTGCCAAATCGCATGGCGACTGAAATCGCGTGAGGTATGCCCTAGGCCTTTGACTTCACTATAAGATGTGTTACACAATAACCAAAAACACCACAAATTTTGACGCAGAGAAATCTTTGCGGACGACATACACATGAATCAGTGGGCCCTATAATTAAAAATATGAGTGTTTTGGGCCCTCGCTTTTATTTGATAACACTTGCTTGTGCGCAACCACCGAAGAAAAATGCAATTTCGCTTGCGCGATGATCATTTTAGGGTTATTCAGGGTGGGATTTCTGACAATGAGATGGACCAATGAGGAGCAGTGCCATTTTGGTTGAAGAGCTTAATTCATCTCCACAACAGAGTCGATGCTCGAAAGGACCTTCCCACTTAAGACATCTAAGTTTGAAACATCAGAATCCGCTAGAACTTGGTGCACAGGAGATTCCTGCAGGCTGACACGAAAACAACTTGCAGTTTGTGCGATAGGGTTTTTTTGCCATGTTCAACTAAATATACTGTAACAGATCAATACCTTGGAATGGGCTCAAATCGCGCATGATTTGCCTATCTAGCATGCTGCCCATAACGTATTGTCCGTGCCCGAGAGAGATTTCCATAGGTAGAGGCCGTTCATAAAACCGTGAACGATGGCGCAGCTGCACGCGTTGCATACGCAGTTCCAACCACCGCATTTTCTTTGCTTTCTTCTCTTTTCGGAGCATTTTTAGCGTGCAGTGTCCCGGCAAAATTTCGTTCTCCGGTTTTTCACTTCTCCGGAGTTCTCGCCATGCTGAAGCCATATCTGAGCTTTCCAGCGCGGAGCCTGGAAATGGGCGGCGTCCGTAATACATTTTGGGCTTTCCAAAAGCGCCTTTTCGCTCCAAACTTCACTAATAAGTTAGTTGGAGGATCTAGCATTGCAACACTGCAAAATCCCGATATCGATCATTTGGGAACGCTGCCTTTTAATGCTCTTGTAACGATTGGATGGGAACAGACTGCAGCCGAACCCGTTGCCACGATTTCATAAGTGACCCTTACATAAACGCGGCTTCCTTACGATCGTTTTAAAATGCCGCCTTCGAATAAGCGCCTCAAATTTGCTAGAGTTGACGTGTTGAAAAGACCGACAGGCAGCTACGCTGATGGTGTGGACCTTGTAGAACCCATTCGCGCGCGCCTTGTCTTGAACACCAACATAGACAGCGGTCACCGCGGACGACTATAGGTGCTAACTATCTTCCGATATTTTCCGCCAACTTCCATTCTATTTTCATTTTTGCGAAGTAGTTTCAACGAAAATTTCCTTTACAAGTCCGAAAGAAATGTCTAGGAGGGATGCGTGCCCATTGTCGAGATTGTGACAAGCCTATGACGCTCCAGCACCCGACGCTTCCAGCCGCCCCACACGTTGATGTACAAAAGTACGAGGGGCAATTGGAATTTACAAGGGCTGTATGTATCATTGAGGACCTCTCTAGGAGCAAAAACCATACATTTTTGCAATGTTCTCAAATCCAACATGTTATATTGCTGCCGTTGTTTGAAAATACTGAACTTTACGTGAATGCGCGCCGATCCGTGGGTACACACTGACTGCGCGCAATCACGCGCGTTTTTTCCGGCCGCGGATAAGAAATTCGTAAAAGATCCTTTAATACCTAATGCTATCCTAGAATCAAATTTTGGTGTAAGATACGTAATTGTAAGAACATTGTTTTGTTGACTCAGATATCATGTCTCAAGAACTTTCTTTAAATTATTGTCTTTTGCACCCGTTTTTGGAGCGTTCATCGCTGATTCTCTATGTAGTAGACAACAGAATTCCTGCAGGAATGTTTGGAGTGTTGGTCATTGGTGCTCCAGGAGCTGGCAAATCAACATTTTGTGCGGGTCTTGCTGACATATTTGACCAAATCCATCGTCCACACATCACTATAAATCTGGATCCTGCCAATGATTTTGTCCTGTTTAAAACCGATTACAGTATAAAAGAGATGATTACGGTAGAGGATGCTATGACTAGACTGGGTAAATCTTTTTAGAATTATCTCAAATCAAGCCATGTATGGTGCATCCCCCAAAATTGTTCCCATATGAATCGTCAAAGTGGATGTCTTTTGGTCATCCTAACATATCAGCTTCGAAAGCGCCTTAAAGGCAGTGTCCGGGCAAGAACTCGATTTTGAGGTTTTGTGCTTACCCGGGCCTATTCGCTATGCTGAATCCGAAAATCCACATTGGAAAGCGCGAAAACGACGAAAAAGGGCTCTAACACTGGAGGGAAATCAGCACAGTTTGCAAAAAGTTTTCGGGACTGCCACTGTTGTCCAAATAAGTTTTCACCATCTGTTTTTTGTCTGCTGGGTCCATCTGTCACGTTGCGAGTACGGAGTTAAAGTGCGAAAAGAGTCAAAACGAGGAGTGCTTATCTAATCCGCTTAAACTAATCCTAACTGAACGCAATCTCAAAACCACTCTAGCCGCGGCTCCCATAAAGAAACTGCAACATTTAATTAATCCACTCTTCTTCTGCTTTCTCGTTATGTGGGCCGCGTACATCAACATCCCCACCAGAAAGGAAACGTAGCCCAAACGCGAAAACTTTGGTCCTGTTGCCCTAGCGACGTGACTTTTACAACGTCTCCATCTCTTGTTCCTATTAACCTTTAGTACGAATTTGCTAAGCAGTCGTCGAACCCGCGTTTTCTAAATGTTTTGTGTAATCTACCAGCGATCTCCAGCAGTTTGCTGTCTTTTCTTTGAGTATTTGCCTTTCTATGAGTACAAGGAAACATTCGCTTTGCTCAATATCTATCTCAACAATGACAACCATGTTGGTGCCAGAAAAATTAATACAGCGACTACCATCGGTTGAAATCCAGATGTTTATTAGAATCCTGATTATCCAGTCTCTTTGTTTATATTAGAAAATGCTTGACAGTGTTGTTTGAGTAACCAGCACATTTTATGACGCTCCAACTATCTGCGCATGAGAGCGAACAAGTTTAAAATCAGACGCTAAAGCTCTAAAGGACTACGTGTACCGTGACTATATATTGTTTCTCAAAACAGTGATTACATTACACCGTTTAGATTTATAGAATTGCAAAAAGCTGAGTAGTGAAATCAGAGAGCGTGAAATCTGTTACGCAACCTTTCAACTTCTTCAAATCTCTTAAACGTAACAAATTTACAATGCATATTTGCTAAAAGTCCTAGCGTTATCTTTCGACAAAGAGGTATCGGTGATTTCTTCTGTATTTCAAATCTAAGTCGAAGCCTGCCCTACCAAATGTTTCCAGTCTGCAAGAAAGTGAGGGATTTGATAAACACTGGATACATACTTTTGAGATATCTTGTACCTTGTACATATCTTGTTATTTGTCAAACATGATGCACTTTCGTTTGCCTAATAAATGTACGCCATTCATTCTCAATGATCATTTGAAGGAGAGATATCAGGCGCTGGAGAAGATCGTGATCAGATAGAGGCTGAAGAATTACGACTGAAACAAAGGAAAAAGCTGGCGCCCGGTTACATAAGGTAAACAATAGGTAATCTAACTCCTGGTATCAAGCGTTCTTTTCAGTGCCGATAACCTTGCGGTTGCTTTGATAGTTTTTGTGTTTTGATTTATCCTATATCGTGCTTGCTACAACATCGTCGTTATGTATGAAACCAACATGAGAACGAAACAATTTATAGCATGAGAAGCACCTGTAGAGTTTTTCAGCAATAAAATTGAAAACTTGCACTTACGGTCAACCTACCAAATTTTGTTTTTCGAGAGCTCCAGCAATACTTTCTTATAATGTAAACCCAAAACCAAAAAACACGAGTATGCTCCGCTTTTGCACACGGTCATAGCGCTAGTTTGAATAGGAGCCACTTGCAGACCCTTCTTTCCCCCCCCCCCCCCTTGAACTCTGGAACAAATGGCGGTGTAATGGTGAGGAGAAGAGGACGTAGAAATCGAAGAGAAATCTACTTATAGATTTTATCGATTACTTGCAGCTGAAGGCTGGGATTGGCATAGGGGGGTGGAGGGTAGATGAGCTGCATGCTGATTATGAGTACAGTATTTTCTTCTAGGTTAACCCAATACCTTTGTCATACTTGCAAACTTTGAGCTACAAGGTTGGGAACTGGTACAGAAAGTAAATGAGCATGCTGATCACTAATAAGGTAACCTTCGTAAAAATAGCCATTACTTTTATTAATTTTTTCACTTATTAACTGGCTGCCTTGTCGCCACTCGGGCCAGTGTCGTAATTGGCAGAGCGACATACTGGATAGAGAAATTTGAAATCTCTGAGACAAATTCCTTGCTTTTCTATCCGCTCTTTCTCACTCCTTGCAGGCCCTAACCTTACTCCCCACGTGTTTTCCTTTTTCTTTTACCTGCAGCACGCCATTTATTCACTTTAGTTACTTTCTGTAATTGCACCACTTGACATACGCAGTGCACCACCGCGGTGGCGGTACGTCAACCAAGAGCAGCGAAAAAAGATAGGTTGTTGACAAATAATTTGAAAATTGAAAATGTGTCGTTCCTGCAAGGGTCAGGTCTATCAATGTGTGCACTTATACAGTGACTGTGAATTGATCCGAGTGAGCGACTGCCTACAATATGCCTTAACCAATAGTCGCATCCCCACACTGCGAATGAAAATAAGGTTTACACCCATTCTTTACACCAAAATGTGCAAGCGGTTTGCTAGCGGCTGATAAGACTTCATTTTCGTTGCAAAGTGCTCAAAATCAGCAAATCTATGGCAGGCGCTACACACGAGGAGTATAACATGGCGACGATCTATATGCATCAAGTACGTGTAAAACCGGCGATTTTTGTCGATGATGTTGGCGATCGCCAATCGACGTGGTGATTGTCCGCCGCCGATATTAGCGACTGGCAATCGCCAATCGCCAAACAAGTTACACACGTCAAATCGATACGTACCAAAACGACTTGTTTGGCTATTGGGGATCGCCCGTCGCCGATTTTTACGACTGGCGATCGCCATTCGCCAGTGTTGGCGACTACACATTGAATGTGTATCGATTGGACGTGACGATCGATACACATAGAAGACACAGTCGCCAGTATTGGCGACTGGCGATTGCCAGTCGTAGCGATTGGCGACAGTCGTAGCGATTGGAAATCGCCCGTCGCCATGCTATACTCCTCAAGGCTATACTCCTCAAGGAGTATAGCATGGTGATGAGCGAATCGCCATAAAAAGTAGCCTATCGTGTGCACGTATGTGTACAAAATTTGACGCTTTATTCACAAAGACTTCTACTATGTTTGCGCGGCTGGGAAATCGAGGAGGTGGGGAAAGGGGGTAAAAATTTGGCGCGGAATGAAGTAGATCGAGCTATGAATCCTGGAATTTATACCTTCTGCTTCTTTTTTATGGTTCTTGCCGCGTTGCTCAAATGTGTGTGTTGTGTACTGCGTATTATTGCGTGCATCATAGTGTTGTTGAATGAAATTTTATAGATTTTTAATTTATTGAAGATTTAAGAAGCACTTTAAGTGAACTATCTATCAAACTTTCTCCTATGTAATCGACTACTGGACACACTGGAACGAAGTAAACACGGCCGAGTCATTGTAGTCGGCAGTGTACTGCATAGCTGGTCAGTTACGTCCTTCCATTAAATTTTTCTCCTCTTATTCCAGGTTTCTAGTCGCGCTATATGTCCTGGAGTCCCTCTTTGAGCCCTGTTGATCTCTTTTTTATTGACTCACCCATTATAGCTCCCTTGAATTTCTTTACTCACCACGGCAACATAATTCGACCAGATCCACTCAATTCCTAAAAGATTAAGCAGTTGAAAGAAGCCATCCCCCCCTCCCCCCCCCCCAAATCCCTCCAGCTTATTGACCAGAAGCTTTTTTCTCTTTAAAGGCAGTGTCCGGGCAAAAACTCGATTTTGAGATTTTGTGCTTACCTGGGCCTATTCGCTATGCTGAATCCGAGAATCCACATTGGAGAGCGCGAAAACGACGAAAAAGGGCTCTAACACTGGAGGGAAATCAGCAAGTGGGCGGGGTCTTCAACATTGTGAATTCACGCTTCCAGCTTCCAGAGCAATTTTCTCGAATCCGTTAGCCACCCTGACATCACTACCGATCAAGTGCAAACGAATGACTTGAAACCGGAATCAAAAAGATCGCCCCCGAAGCTGGGAGCGTGAATTCACCGTGGGGAAGACCCCGCCCACTTGCTGATTTCCCTCCTGTATTAGAGCCCTTTTTCGTCGTTTTCGCGCTCTCCAATGTGGATTTTCGGATTCAGCATAGCGAATAGACCCAAATAAGCACAAAATCTCAAAATCGAGTTTTTGCCCGGACACTGCCTTTAAATGTCAAGCATGCTTGATGTGCAGTCTAGAGTAGTAATGGCGAGGGATGAGGGATTCACGATTTTTCTGCCCTATTTTGCCCTTTTTTATCCCCTCAAATCAAAATTTTCTAGGACAGCCCTGGAATGTGATGGCCAAAAAAGACTACGAGAAGTATTTGGTCTATTCTCATTCTAAGTTATGTCTACACAAGTCCAAAGTGCCGTTACGCGGCATTTTGGACTTGTAAGTTAGTAAGACATAAAGTTAATAAGAGCTAAAGTTGATAAGCAAGGACTCTTTGAATATTTATGTGGTTTTGCGTAGATTCAACACCGGTATATAAGTTGACCGCGACTTTCGAGGTTGAGTTATTTATGTGATTTTTATAATAACGAAATAAAAAGCAATGAGCCGTTTTTGATTGATCTTAAGACGAAGCCTCAATATGTAACAGATTATGTAAAGAAATGCATAGCATATATTTAGATGAACTTGATAAAACGTAGCACAGTATTTGGTCATATGTCAGCTTACTGCTTAGAAATTTTAAAATGTGATAAAAAGCAGCTTATGTACAAAAGATAAGGCAACAGATGCGATTGAGATCGTACATGTAGATGATGATAAATGAGGTGATGTTGAGGCATGAATGATTTCAAATAGGCGAACAAAATAAGATAAGGTAATATTTCCAGTCTTGTCTAATGCATAGAGACCTAGAAGCGTAACATAACGCAGATGTAGATGATACAAATGCAAAATATTAGTAACAACGTTTACAGCTAATCACTACTTCATTGCTGAAATTCTTTAGAAGGAAATTCGCGCATGATATTTTGCTTGTTTAAAGTGCTATATTCAGTTGTATCATTGGCGTCTGTATCCTTATTCGAAGTGATGCTAGTAGAGTTTCACACAGCATAAAGAAACCTGATAATCATCTCTTGTAACTACTGCTGCACAAACGAAAACTTTGACAAAGTAATACTGCATCTTCAAGATTGTCTATGCAGGCGATATCAGCTGTGTGCAACTGTGCAGCCTCGAAAAAAATGATTTTTCTTGATATTTGACAGGTGCAACTTCATTCTGAATGGACTGTACAGATGTATCTATCACGTCAGTGACTTCAGAATCCAAAATTTTTTCTCAAACAACTACATTCCCGTAAATATTGTACCAAATATCGAGGGTAATGAGCACAGATCCGTGATGTATTCAATCAGCTGTGAATTCAAAGTTCTTCCAATGCACGCTGATAAGAACATACACCATGAACATGGATGACTTGTAGAGCTTTTAGATTTGCCTTTTTAACGTTAGTTTTCATGCATTCGCAAGAAGAATCTCTATGAACACTGATACATCACACAGTAATTGAACTTACTGTTCATGATCGAAACTTCATTTCAAAAATCTTTGTAAATTTTTAAAAATATTCCAAATTGATGGAGGATAACTCAGACATAAAAACACTATAACTCATGTTTGGAAACAGTGTAAATTATAATAATCTTATATATAAAGCTGAATGTCTGTTTGTCTGTCTGTCTGTCTGTATGTCTGTATGTCTGTCTGTCTGTTTGTCTGTACGTATGTTCCTAATAGAAAATTCCATTTCTGAACCGGTCGGGACCAAACTTAGCACACATACACTTCGGGCCCCGGCGGGTGTCATAGGCTACTTTTCGTCATCGATCAATATCGATTTTATCGATTTTTTGCAAAATTTGAGCTACGGGGCTGGGAGTTGGCACAGGGGGGTAATCGAGCATGCTGATCACCCCCGACATAGCACACTGCGCATCCTACCGACCAATCCGACTGATGAGCCACACTCTAAAAATTTTCGAAAGAAGTAATCGAAACACGCCTTCGAGATATCAAGAGTTGTCACCGAATCAGTGCGGATTCGTGAAAGGAGTAGGTACAACTGATGCAATCCATTCCGCTCGGATAGTAATGGAGTAATACAGAGAGAAGCAGAAGGAATTGAATGCAGCCTTCCTGGACCTAGAGAAAACCTTCGATAAGGTGCCACATGAAGTCATATGGTGGGCCTTACGGAAACACAGGGTGCCAGAGGAGTACGTTCAGTGGATCTAAGTTGATCTACAACACACCACGTGCAAACAGCTTCAGGGCAATCGAAAGAATTCCAGATCAAGGTTGGAGTTCACCAAGGTCCAGTTCTCTCTCCCTTGCTTTTCATCACTGTGATGAACGCCGTGATGGAACCGCTTAGACGCGAACCCCCTTGGACACTTCTCTACGCAGATGATGTGGTCTTGATAGTAAGTACCAGAAAGGAGCTACAAGACGAGGTGCAAAACTGGAAAAACAGGCTAGAGTTGTATGGTCTAAAGCTCAACACCAGGAAGACAGAATATATGGAAGTGGGGAAACAAACTCCAGGTACCATAAGCATCAGTGGTGAAGAGCTAAAGAAGACGACGTCATTCAAGTACCTAGGCAGCCATATCTCAGCGGAGGGAGGCTTACAAGAGGAGGTCGCAGGCAGGATGAACACAGCATGGATGAAATGGAGAGCCTTAACAGGAGTTCTGTGCGACAGACGAATGCCAGTACAACTTAAGTCCCAACTGTACCGGACCGTTATCCGCCCAGCAGCACTGTATGGCAGTGAGTGCTGGCTGTGTACGCGGAACGAGGGGCGCAAGCTCAGTGTCATGGAAACAAGGATGCTATGATGGACCTTAGGAGTCACACTGAAGGATCACATCTGCAATGACACTATACGAGCACGAATGAAAGTAGCTCCAATTGCCCAGAAAATGCAGGAAAAGAGGTTACGATGGTATGGGCATGTGCGCAAAAGGGATGAAAGTCACATCACCAAGTTGACCCTGGCTGTGGAGGCACCAGGCAAAAGGCCCAGAGGTAGACCCAAGATGAGGTGGATGGACAGAATCAAGGCCGACCTGCGAGAACTTGGTATAAACGAAGACCTTGCCTCAGATAGGATGACATGGAGACATCTGACAAGAAAAGCAGACCCTGCTTAAGCGGGACAAATGCGAGGATAAAAAAAAGGGTACTTTTCCGTTATCCGGACCCATTTTTTCAAACAAGGATATTGCTTCTTTCCTCCTACCATATTTGGTCCCGACTTCACTCGAAGAAGTGTCAACCGTCCTGCCACGTGTCAAAAAAATTTGACATGTCATCTACACGTTTAACAGGTTTAACCAAGAGTATGAAGTGCCCTACCTAGCGACGTAAATTCAATCTCTTTCTAGTCAATAGTGGCCCCATTTTCGATCTAACAGCATCAAAAATGGGCGTGGCTATCATAATAACGTCATTCTGTTATTAACTCAACAGATTAGACTTGCCAAGAATAGAGAAGTAGACTAGGATCCCGTCATTCAAGTGACAAAACAAGCAATAGCGAGGAACTTCAAGCCCTCATTTCTAGTCTTGTCTGGCTAAATTCGCTAGGCGAACAGTCTGAAAAGAAAAACAATGCTGAATCATTGTTAAATCGGTTAAAAAGCTCCCATATAACTTTTAGATCGTTTTGCTCTCATAGAAAACAATTGAACAGTTCTTAGGTGATAACAAATGCTCTTTTACACAGGAAATGATTTTGAAAAAAACATGTCAAAATGGAACAAAACGTGTCAATATTTTTCTGACCCGTGGCAGGGAGGCAGTCCTCATGGAAACTATAAAAAATTGTTCTTAGATTGAAGAGCATATTTTATGAGAGCCTTCTGAAAAAAATGGTCCGGATAACGGAAAAGTACCAAAAAAGTCATGAATGAGTGAGCGGTTTCGAGAATTGCGGCATGTGAGCGTTCGTGGTGTAATGGTTAGCATGGATGCCTTCCAAGCATTCGACGGGGGTTCGATTCCCCCCGAACGCAGTCGCTTTTGCGTCTTTGCAACAAGTTCTTCTTGAAGAAGAAGGTGTTCACGGAAGCCAAAAAACTGTTATTCATTATTTTCAAGATTTTCTTTTTCTTTCTCACTGTGATCTAGTTTTGCATTTCCTTACATTGGCATCATAGGCTTATTTAAATTGAAGTAGATTCGATATACTAGAACTATGGTGACGACCCGGAACAAAAAAAAATTTTTTGGGGGGGGGGGGATTGGGGAAGAAGGGCGACAAAAATCTATCATAAACGAAAAGGGTCTCCCGTCGGAAGTTTAGGGTGCTTTCCGGAGCTTCTATGGACCCATACCAGCGAAATTTTCGAAAAGGCTTTTTAACAAAGCTGATACCAATCTTGGAAGATTCTAAACATCTCAAGTTTACGACTCATAGACCAGTTCTAAATATTTCATGGCCCTTGCTGTTAAAACCATATTGATAAATATACTTGAACGCAAAATTTTCTCAAGCTTCGGCATTCAATTCATCATTTAGAAGCTCTCTACTGTGTCAATGTCTCCCTTTTCCTCCCTTCTACTTTCGAAAATGGCCAAGAAAAATTGAAGTTAACTATTTTACAAGCTCAAACTTTGTTTTGAGCAGTTGGTTTTTTTTTTCTTGGATACAAAATTGGAAAAAATTAATGTCATTTCAGAAATCTGTTTTGCATGGCTGAATTCTTTCAAATAAAAATCGATTTTTTAGGTCCGGTGCTGAAGCGACGGATGAACGGCTCCAAGAACGACTCTGGGCTTACTCGGCAGACCTGGCCAAAGGATATGTTTGACATTATTCCCCCCCCCCCGCCCCTCTCCGACTGTGTTCCATCCTCCTCATGAATTCTCTGGCTCTCTGCTCGCTCATAGCAGCTTGTGCATGTACCGCTATAGCTGCTAACTAGTATATTGTACATAGTGTACATTCGATTAGTCCATTCCTCCCCGTTTTTTGCGAATTTTCATTCATGTCAAATTTTGAAAGGGTCATCGATCTTCCACAGCTCCTCCTCATGCTGACTCTTCCTCTTTCTTTATCCAGCGCTGTTTCTTTTCTCTTCGATTTTACGTGCAGTTCTTTGCATTTAAATGGTTTTCTAGTCGTGCTTTAACCAAAGTTTCGCTAGCTTTCAACTATTGATTTAATGATTTATAATATAAACGAAGGCATAGTCTTCTGATTTACACGTGTATTGCAATGTGTATATATAATTTTTGAATAAAAAATAATTCTTGCATCTTTGTTTTGGGGAAAAGAGTTAGGCTAGAGTTACCGACGAGAAGAGATAGGCTTTCAGCCTTATTATCCGTTCGAGACCAAAATGGACGTACGAGGCATGAGATATATTTGCTAGGGGACCACGCAGACTGAAATGAAGAGCATCAGACGGTTGTCCATTTTACGAGATTAGAAAATAATAATAATACAGAATCTAGAAAATATTAGTAATATAAATGAAAATAATATCCTGCAGGTGAATCACCTTGCACATTTTGTCATCAGCCGACAACTGCGTCCATTCTAGCAAAGAATGCACCGGCGAGAATTGTCTTCACTTCAAGCATTTGTCATGACTGGTAAGGAACTTTGCAGGTATAGGCGAGTCGCCGCACGCAGAGATAGGGTCCGCTGCGTACGCTGTTTGCGTCTCACTATTACGCGCTCTTTCATCTCTCTTGCCATCGCCCTCCTGCCAGCACAAACTATCTCAGTGGGACGAAGAGGCGTCCAGTCTCTGCGTACAATTGATTGACGAAAGACCTACCTATGAAAAAAGATAAATGCTGGATTTTTTAACCACTTCTCTAGAGTGAGAAAATCAAAGGCTTTCATGCCGAAGATGGCTTGAATATGCAGATTTTTGTTTATAAGAACCCATTTTGAATGCGAAAAAGGCAAAATAATGCAAAAATGTTCAATCTTTCTAAAATTCTTGATTTCAGTATGCCTAAAGAAGAATTGAGTTCGTAGTATAATTTTCAAATTCAAGTCTTTCAAAGCGCTATATTCTTCTAGTGATATTCATCCAACACAGTATTCCGGCTTACACAGGAAACTCGCCGGAACTTCCGCAGAGCGTTCGGGAAAGTTCCGCCGGATCACCTGCAGAAGTTCCGAAGAATGCGAATCCAAACAGCTAAAGGAACTTTTAAGCAATTTGAACTTTACTCTTAACTGCGAGACTCACTCACTATCTTCTGCACTGGATGACATGTTCGAATGCACTCTAGTTGTTAGCGAAACGACATCGTAAGAGACAACACTTTTGAAGTTCTGCAAAACTACTGGCAGGCTAAGCTGCGGAACCTATGTTGTTCTCAGAATTTCCGCAGTTTTGCAGAAAGCCCGGCGGAAGTTCCCATTTCCACTCAGTCTGACGTGAAAATCTTACAGAAGTTTCCACTTCTAACTTTTCATTTTTGCAATGGTAAACAAAATTTTGCGGAATTTCAGACTTTGCATATCTTGCGGAAGTTCCAGTGAATTGCTTGAGTATGAGTTCCATGTCGAACTCTTATGATAGTGCTTCTCAAATTCCCCAAGACGAGGTGGATAAAGTGAGCAAATCCAAACCAAGAAGAATTACAAATTTACTCGAGAGGATCCTTCTAATTTTGCCCGTTTTGATAAAGTCAACTCCTTTTTTCCAGAATATACCATCCCTTTCCTTTTCAAATTGGCCGTATTGTCAAGAATTTCCAGTCTATACAATCCTTCCAAGGAATTTGAGTGTTTAATATCCATAGTGAGATCCTTTCACTTCCGCTTGTTCTGATGTGTGTCAAATTTCGCCCTCGCAAAATTTAGTTCAAATCTAGATGACACTTCATTGACTTCAACCGCCTTCATATTAATTTCGCGTTCAGGTATCCGCTTGACTTCTCGGATCTTCAAGCCAAGCAGTACGGAGACAATAGAGGATACCTACAGTACTCCCGTAGTAAACTCTTGAACCATATGACAGCACTAAAAATGGCTCGTGACAAGTCAGACGGTGTAAATGTGAATGTTTACGAACCGGGTGTGATCGAAACGAAACTTCTGAAGTTAGTTCCTAACGAGATTGCCAATGATAGCAACTTATTCTCCATAATCTTAGGGCTGGCGGTTATTCCGGTAGCTCAGTTACGGACAGTGGCTATGCTGCAGTACAGCTCACAACCTCTGATGGGCTCACAAACATTTCCGGGGAGTATTTCAATAACAAAGTAAAGGTTGGCATAAATTTCCATGTTTAGAAATAAATTCAGATCGCATTCTTCTAGAAAGCTTCATCAAGCGCGGATGCCAAGGATGTTGCGCAACAAGACAGACTCTGGAAAATGAGCGAAGAGGTTTGCGCGAAGTTCGGAATAACCTTCTGAATTTATTCTTGCAAAATGTTACAAATTTTGAATTTTATTATTGGTGAACGCTGACAAGGTTATTTTATAGTTTAGAGTTCAAATAAATCTGTTGTAAAAAAAATAATATCAGCGCTCAGTTAATAACTATAAGTTTTGAACACCATATTGGCTAGCATAAACTCAAATTTATAGTATAAAGCGAGTCACCGATCAATCTTTATTACTGTTGGTAGAAACTTTTAGCATACAGCGTCATTACTAACACCTGGAACAAATGAGCAGCTTCGAAGAAACGCCTTGTCCTTCGTTTTTAGAGAATTTATGTTCGACGAGCTATCTTGAGACACCCAGAGTTATCACCGTGTATCTCTTCCTTGCCAAAGTCGAACGATATCTCCTCTCAAATCGGCCTTTTTGAAACTTATAAATTCATTGGACGAACAGAAAAATTTGTATTGTGTGTGTTATGTTGATTTATGTCGATTCGCAAGCTCGGACTCTGTCGGGAGTTGCTTGTGATTCGTGCTTGTCTACCTGGCGTAGCACTCCAGAGTCTCCTATGAAAGGTTTTTTCCCGCACTTATCGGAAGCCTCTTTCCCGCAATCGTGAAGGCGCTGGGCGAATTGTTCGTATCCCTCGTCGTTGTTGTCTATATGGCATCTCGCCAAAAGCCGGACATCAAGAAAAGTGTGGTGATTGGTAGGGTGTAATGTAGCCTTAAGTGGACTGGCGCCTGTAGTGAAGTACAGGACCCGGCAAGAGGCGGGCAAATGACAGGCTGGAAATCGTTTTGGGTAAAAAACCAAAAGGGATGTCGTTTTTATGGGGTCAGGGGCGAAGCCACGGAAAAAATTGGTAGTTCATGCTCTCTGCTTATCTTAACATGTTATGTGCCTCAACAGGCTCGCACGCGTCAAACCGCACCGTTACCAATTGCCACACGCGCTACGTCGCTTAACCGATGCTATTTGTAACAGCATATATAAAGGACTAGTTTCTCAATGTATGCGTAACGATATGACACCAAATCTTATAAGCAAACCAGAGAGGCTAGTGGAAACAAAGCATGAAAAACTATGACATACTTGTCAATGGAAGGTGTAATAAGCATTTATTTCCAAAAACTGCCCTTCTAAAGAAGGGCATGCAACAAGCCGACTGAGAAATACTCGTCGCATCAAAATTAGGAGATGGATTGGCGGGCGTCCGCGTTGCAGTGATTCGCCGTTTCGCAGTTTCATGTACCATTCATAAGTTGGGGTGAATTAAGTTGAATTCAGGCTCGAGCAAGAGGTGTGGCACACAACCGCTGGAGGTGATCCCCCCTCTCCAAGTTCTGTCTCAATACCCTCCCTTCCTCCCCCCCCCCCCCCGCATTATCGTTTGCCTACCGTAGGCATGACTAAAGGTTTTACCAAGCATATTCAGTAAAAACTCGCAACAATTATGTCAGATAACCATGTGCCTTTTAGCGAATTTGAATGCTCCCGATGTTGGGCTACCCAAAAGAAAGCTCATCATGAAACATGGATGGCTATATCCAAAAGTGGATTATCTACCAATTTTGTACTTAATACAAAATTGGTAGATACTCCTTATTTACTCGTACCATGAACCCTTCTTCAACTACAAATCCCAATTTTAGCTTACAGTGATTGTGCTTCCAGCAACCACTGCGCAAACGAATGAAGGGAATTTCAGCTCTGATTACTATCATAAAATTACTACCACACCTTCTTAGGGGTTGTGCTACACTCCATTACCTTACCTTTGAAGCATTCAAATATTTCTAACTTTATATCGTTGCCACTGCTAAAGCTTCTTCTCTATGCAGCAGAAATTTCGTTCAAAACTGTTTCTCTTAGGAAAAATATAGTCGTTTTTTCAAATGCAAGGTAAAATCCTGCGAAAATAATGGGGTACGGTAACAAGCTAAGGGCCGCATGCATTAACATTCTTACTGGGGAGGGGATCGCAACTTTGAAACAAAGCTTCTGAAACTCCAGATATGTGCATTTCACGCTGTCTACTTATCCACAAGTACTCCTACCATCCTTCATTATGAAGACTTGAACGGGAGGAAGAAACTGTGCAAGTCCCATTTTCCAGCTTTTTCTATGATCTCCCAATGATCCCCGCGGTCGAACGTCCTTCCTTCTTCCTCTAGAGTTAACGAAAACCTCACAAAATTGTACTGACTACCTAACCAAACAATGCTAAGCTTGTTACTGATAAGAACAAATAAGTTTTCAAATAAGAACAATTTCTTTCGATACCAATTGTGGTTCATCGCAAGTTTCGTGACTTTGAAACTATCATGCCCAGCACGAGGTGGCATAAGGGAAATTCAAAAACGAAGTCCCCCTTGACATTGCAGAAAATCACGAAATCCCTTTTGTAGTGTTTGAGAAGCACTTCTAATCACAGCTGAATAGATTGTTTACACATCAATGTACGCATTTTTATGAAGGTGAAGATTTGGAAACAGAAACCGTCGAAACACAACCTATATGCCGACGAAAAGGATCAAAGTGACGAAAAGACAAGAATAAGTCAAAGATATAAAAGAAATGAAGTGCGAAAACTCTATTTTTATACCATCGAGAGCCGCAACAAACCATAGAATATTGGGCTAAGGCATACCTTCGATAGTCTAGAGACAGGGCGTCAAAAGTGAAGGTTGTTTGAATATCTGACGTCATAAATAGTGAATGTTGTTTAAATAAGACCAGAAAAGAGAAAATGGCGTAAAACAGATGTAAAAAGCAAAAGAAACTGCTGAAAACCGGATAAAAACGCTGCAATGAGGTTTGAAATCTTTCATTAGGCGGCTTTTCAATGTGCAAGTTTTCGTTAGAGGACCAGCAATTCGCAACGCGGGGTTTTGATTTTTGATGCGTCCTTCGAATTTTTACCCCCGCATTGACGTTCCTGTTTCCTGGGACGTTGTCTGGATTGTTGCGCTTATTGTTCTGAGCAACAATCGTCCAAGCTGGAATCAAATCGATGCGAAAGCACTGAAATGGAACAAGGTAAAGAAAAACGCACTTTTTCCGATTTTTCGCAAAAAATTCCACTATAATCGAAGAGGTAAGGGCTGGGTGGTTGTCTGCGTTATGAACAGAAGCAAGATCTATAGAATGCACGAAAAATCAGCAAGAAAAGAGTTAAACTAGAAGAAAAACAAGAGATTTTCGAAAACAAGGTTTTTGCAGGATTTCTCGATCAAATCAAAAAATGTGGTTCTGGGACGTTGTCAGCGTGAAAATAGAGATCAAGAGCTTTAAAATGATATATAGCTTGCAAAATTTGGGTCCGAAACAGCGAAGAAAAGGGCACCAGAGCCAAATGACCCGCGCCCCGCGTTTGGGGTAGCGAGGTAGAGCGCAGCGCGCGGAGACGCAGACGAGCAGCGGAGACAGACCAGAGCCGACGGGGCATTTGGCTCTGGTCGTAGATCTCCGCGGGGTCTCAACGAAACCCCGCAACATTATATATCATTCTGATCGTCGTGACACGACGAGGAGAACTGATAACGTCCCAAGCTTTGATAGTTACTTATTAACGAGATAGACCGGCGTTTTTGTGCGCGACTGCGCAAGATTTGAGCGCAGTTCCTCGTTTTTATTTAACTCCGATAGCTTTCCTAAACTTCTGAAACTCGATTTTGGTCAAACGAGAGGTTAACTGAGAAATTTTGTCTTGGAATGTGGCAAAAATTCCACAGAAACCTTCTTTTTAACATAAAAAAGCCTATGAAAAGCAAATTCTTGGTTTCGCTGAGATAAGCTGAAGATATTAGTCCCTATATTTGCTTTATTAGCATTCGTTCCGAAATATTCAAGATAATAACATCCAGGGCGAAGCCCCGGATGACTTCAGTTTTTTTCCAGGTGAAGGTTGTCCCCTCATAGCCCTCAAAGTGAAGGTTACCAGAGTACGTAACTCTATGTATCGAAGGTATGGCCGCTAAGGTAAGCATGCATAGGTAGATCTTGATCTGAAGAATAAATCTGTGTTCAAAAATACCTGGAATTTTATGCGTGGAAGGGAGGAAAGTTCAAAGATTTGTGACTTTGTGTGTCCCGCGCAACCTCAGGGTGCTCCCAGGTGCGAGAGAGCCACTTAAATTCGAAAAGCACGTAAAACTCCTCTCTTTTACATAATTTTTTCGTAATTTTTCACACTTTTCTTTGGATCATCGTCGCGGATGTACACACCAAATTCGATGGTTCAATACTGCTTAATCGTTGTACAAGCCGATTGTTTACATTTTTGTGAGTATAGGTTGTGTTCTAACACGTGAAATCAGTGCACACTGGTCCTGCACTAGTCGCGTTTGTAATTTGTTGATTTATCTGTAAGTGGTAAAACTAGTTAGACCTTCAATTTGGGGTTTGCCAGGAGTTAGAGTTGTGCTTCCTAATCTTCGTCAGGGTTCGGGGTAGAGACTACGGGTTCCCTTTTGCTTTCCCCTCAAAAATCGACATCCAGCGTGCGAATGCGCCACCCCTGCTGAGCTCTGTTTTTACCAAAAACATGATTAGCACTTTTGGGTTAGCTACCTGTTGGGTTAGATACTTGGTAGAACTTTGGAATGTTACCGTTGTCATCGAAGAAAAAAATGACTTCAAAGAAAAGACATCCGGCCGCTGGGGATCATCAGAGGATCATACAAAAAGCTGGAAAATGAGACTTGTGCAGTTCCTTGTTCAGCAATACGTTTATAGTGAATGATGGTGGGAATTTACGGATAGGTAGACAGCGTGAAATCTACATATGTGGAGCTTTAAGTTATGAAGCTTTCTTTGAGCTGCGATCCCCTCCCCGGGGGAGATATTGGTGCATTCGGCCGTAAATCTGCACTACTACGTATATCGTGAATCACGAGGGAAGGCGGCGCAAATGTATTGGGTAGCCTAAACCTCCTAATCTTCACAAAACTGTTTTGAGCGTGCCTTTCTCTAGTCTGAGGTAATGAAAGCGAAAGATGGGACAAGCAGATTTTGGCTTGCTCCTAGTTTCATAGTTTGGAGGTTTGGGAGCGGGATTCCTAATGTGAGCGAAGAAGTAGTAGTTCTCTGCAGTAAGTGCAAAAAGAAGTAGTTAATTCA